TTGATTTTCTGAAGTCTGTCACAATTAATTTAAATGAAGCAGCTGATTAACTGCTGTACGAAATTCAATTATGCAGCAAGCCAACAGTTGAGGAAATACCTTAAAAGTTACCTGAAATTCTTGCTTTCCATTTTAAAAAACATATTTTATAATAAAGGTTTACACAGAAGAAATTTTCCAAAATGAAGTATAGAAATAAATTATAAAATGTATTATTTTTTCCAGGAGACTAGCACACTGTTTTCAATGAAAATTTTTCATTTGAATTAATTTTTGGACACAACGCTTTCTGTTTTTATTTATATACGTACATTTTAAGCCATAAATTTTATAGCAATTAAAAAATGAGTTATCTGCGGCTTTTCAAATGATATGGTTGTGAATATGAAGTGATTGCAGTACAGCCTTTATTAAGATAACTGATAATTGGAATAACAGTATGTACATATATACATATCTTTAAAAAACCCATGCTCTTCTCGGTGCCATGGCACCCTTTGTATAGAGTTCTTGGTCAGAACAAGCTCGATCGCAGTCACGGGGCCACCTCTGCCACATGGTCTCGCCGCTAGTTGAGTCCTTGCCACATTCCTCCTGGCCACATGATTTTGTCATTCTGTGAATGCGACCAAAGTTTGCCGAGGGTCGTGAGGCGGGAACGAGCGAGGGGTCAGAAGCACAATTGCTTTTATGAAATTAAATTACGGAGCACATATTTAAGCACTGTCGGAAAGGAGCTTGTTTTTAAGGAAAACTGGCAGCATTAGTGGTCTCAGTGCATCACGAAACCCGCTGAGCTGAAGGATGAAAGCAGAATGAAAGCTATCCCTAAATGGCTAAAAGTAATCAATTAATGTCCATCGCAATCGATAATCAATTTTAATTTGAATTACTCCGGTAATTGGATGAAGATTTAATATAAAATTATCGTCAAGTGTCTGCCAGCCAGGCAGATGGAAAGTCAGACAAAGAGGCTTCTTTGTAATGCAATCAACACAACAGAAATGCCTGCGCTCCTTTGAAATGTGCTGGTTTTTTCCTTCGAATGTGAGATGAAGAATGAAAGCTGACCGCAAAACTCAATAGACACATGCCAAAGTTAAAGCTGCAAATGTAATTAAATAATTGCAATTAAGCATGGGAAACGAGAGCGCAGAAGGAACTCGAAAATCACATAAATACCTCAAATAATCAACACATTATCAACTTTTACGTAATTACACATGCAGCACGCAGCGAAGATGCAGATCCGGATACAAAGGCAGATGGAGCGCAGATGCAGATGCAGATGCGGATGCGGATAAAGTTAGATCCAAGCAGATGCGGAGGCAACTCAAACACAGCCCAACAATGGGAATCGGCAAGCAAGCCCGACTGGCAAACAGATAGACAGTCCGAACAACAATTGCGGCGTAATTTGGTAAATGGAAATGGATACATTTAATAACTAAACTAAATAGAAAGCCATTCCTGCTTGCCGTTGGTCTCCGGCATTCGGTCTGCGTCTCTAATGGATATTTGTTTATTTGCATGGAAATTCGAAATTAAACTATTGAATCATTGAAAGCCCTTTGACTCGGTCTGCCGTGGAACGTGTCCAGCTCCGGTTTCTCCGGTTCCGTCCACCTGTCCGGCATCCGTCCTGGCTGGCCAGGACAAACAAATCAAACTGTGATTGCAAAATTTAATGGGATTTAAAAATTCTAAATTGCTAAACAAGACTTAAGCTCCCCCTCCTTATCGAAGGTATGTGTGTGGCCCTGCAACCACAAGCTGCTGTGGCTGCGTGCCTAAAGTGGAATTGTTTGTAATGCGTTGATGAGGACGACATCAGCCCAGCCCCGACCGCCCAGTGGGAATCGGGTGGCAAGGACCCTCAATGGGGATTAATTTAAATGAGATTTTTAATTTACTTTGCTCTATAGAGGCAGCACCAGCCTTTTGTTCCCGCGCTGATTGCACAATTTTGCCAACAATTTGTGTGGACTTTTGGATCGAGGTGTGGCCCGGGGTCGTCATTGTGCTGCCCCACATAATGCCACCGATCCGCCTTCGCGGCGCTTCCGATTAACTTGCCAGGGTCTCAACTGCGATGCCAAAACAATTCCTGTGCCGCCTCGCACTCGAGAGCACTCAATCAGGAAAGGAGCAATGGTCCAACCACTTGGACACGCAATCAGAGGAAACTTTCCGCACTTTCTCTGTATTGTAATTCAAGACTTTCCCCGACTTTTCCCGACTTTCCCGACCTCCCCCAGCAGGTCAAGCTGCCAACGACCGAAAACCGGAGAACAATAATAAGAGCAACAATGCAATTGCCAAATGCCAACTCCGAGGTGCAGGAGAGTCTTGGGATGGTGGGGCAGCTGGGAGGGGAGCCGTGCAGCTGGAGATGAAAATAGTTTAAGTGCAAAATTTTACGCTTTATCGAATTACCCGCGGGTGCTTTAACTTACAGCCAAACTTCGGGATGAGCAAAACTTTTCCTAGTGCAGCTGCAACTGGGCGGTCAGGTCACAATTTATGATTCTAAGGTGTTGCAATGAAAACTACCAGCTCCCTGCGATTGCCGGGTAAATTTGTTATATTTCTTACTGTCAGCCAGACCATTTGTTAAATGAGTTGGCAAAGCTAATCGAAAAGTTACGGCGAAGACTGTGGGAGCGTGGAGCTCGCCGGCAGATGCACCGCCTTGACCTGGATCCCGGCCAGGCCCACCTGGACCCGGCCACTTCTGATGACCGGCACAAACAAACGAATAAATAACGCCGGGCAAACAATTTAACCGGGCAGCATACGCTATCCAAGGGACCTGGTTCGGGGCGCAATAAAAAAATAATTTATAACAAAGGCGCCCAGGAGGAAGAGGCTGCGAAGCGAGGGCGAAGCAAGCCCAAAAATGCTAAAGTAAGATTTATGCAAATCGGAAGTAAACATTAATCAAAATTTTTTATCCCTTGTTTGTTGCTGCTATTGCCACGGGCAGCCATTGTGTGTGGGTGTGCCCCAGTTTCTGGCGCCACTCGCAAGATTCTGGGTCACCGATACGGCTCCGGACTCGGAAGCGGATACGCAGGTCACCTCCAGGGGAACAAAGTGTTTTTCACCATGAACTTCATAAATTAAAACTTCATATGTCAAAAATGGCAATCGCTCTGAGGGTTTTCAGCTACCAAATGCGGCTGCGTCATTTATATTGAAGTGTCAAATCAGCAGAACGGGTGCCACACATCCCGACGAGCAGTCCGTAGTCTGTAGTCCGTAGTCCGTAGTCCGGAGAGATGCAACCCAGATACCGTTGGGCCATGTGTGACCCAGTCCAGTAGTCGAGAAATAAGTCATATGCTTTCAGAGCCCGTAAAGTTAAACGATTCAACGTTCACTTTAAAATCTTACTTTTATTTTTGAGCCAGAAAATAATTTTGCATAACAGTTCTTTGAGATTTTTGTATTTTCGATCTGAAAATATTATTTTCAAAATAACAGTCATTATACCGTTGTCGTATAGTTAAAGGGTATACTAGATTCGTCGAAAGTATGTATCAGGCAGAAGGAAGCGTTTCCGACCCCATAAAGTATATATATTCTTGATCAGGATCACTAGTCGAGTCGATCTAGCCATGTCCGTCTGTCCGGATGAACGCTGAGATCTCGGAAACTATAGGAGCTAGGCTATTGAGATTTGGCGTGCAGCGCAAGTTTGTTTCAGCATAGTGCCACGCCCACTCTAACGCCCACAAACCGCCCAAAACTGTGGCTCCTACAGTTTTGATGCTAGAATAAAAATTTTAACTGAAATGTATTGTTCTCATCAATACCTATCGATTGACCCAAAAAAAAAGTTTGCCACGCCCACTTTAACGCCCACAAACCGCGAAAACCTGTGACGCCCACAATTTTCATGCTAGATAAAAATTTTTAACTGAAATGTATTGGTCTCGTAAATACATATCGATTGATCCAAAAATAAATTTGCCACGCCCACTCTAACGCCCATAACGCTTAAATCTGTCTACCGCCGGTAGATGGCACATTTTAATCTCGCCTTGCTGCTTGCATATCTCCATTTCCCTTTAAGTAACGGTATCTGATAGTCGAGGTACTCGACTATAGCTTCTTCCTTGTTATCCCTTGCAGAGGGTATATTGATTTGAGTCAGAAGTTTGCAACGCAGTGAAGGAGACGTTTCCGACCCATAAGTATATATTCTTGATCAGCATGACTAGACGAGTCGATCTAGCATGTCCGCCTGTCCGTCCGTTTCTACGCAACTAGTCTCTCAGTTTTAAGCTATCGGCTGAACTTTCCCAAAGTCTTATATCTTTGCAGGTAGTATATAAGTTGGAACCAGCCGGATCGGCAACTTATAGCTCCATAGGAATAATAGGAAAAACAAATTAAAAAATTATATCTGCAAGGGTATATAAGCTTCGGCTTGCGAAGCTACTTCTTTCTTGTTTTATTTTATCGTAGGGTAGATTGGTAAAGTTTGGTTGAGCTATGTTCAGCTGAAATAAAGAGTCATCATTTTGAAAAGCCTCGTTTTTTGGCCATAACTTATTCCTACATCTTAATTGGAACATATTTTTGTTTTTCTTTTAATTAAGAATGAAGAGCACAAGAAAAATAAAAAACGGTTTTGACACGAAATTGTGCTTCTGAAAAAATTACGTTAGGATATCTCGTGAGCGCCCAATGTCCAATAAAGTTTCTCTAACATAATAAATATATTTTATGAAATGTGACAATGACAGAAATTATTTCAAATTTTCCTTAATTGGTGACGTTTATAGCTCAATTTTTTTTGTGACGTCCCCTAGTGTTCTAATTTTTCTTCATTTAGAACGGCGCGCAATTTAAATGAGCTGTTTAGCCGCTAGGTTCACAAACTATCCTTACCTCTTAACTGTCCTTACCCTACTCTCCCAAATTGTAATTAAAGTTATGATTATTTTGATAAAAGAAAATGAAATAAATATTATCTAAACATGTTCACATCAGCTTATTATTATACATCGCAAGATATTTGCATTTTTAAGTCCTTGTTATTAAATTTGTTAAGTAGACAACTAGAAACGGCATACTTGAGTGTGTTGGGTATCAGATGCCCGCTATAATTACAAATGCCTGGAAACGTAGTACTTCATTCACTACCACAAAACACTTAACAAGTAAGCACCGGACTAACTGCAGCAGGAAGCTGGAGTGGGGTCCCGTCCAGATCGTTTGGTGATGGAGAGGCGCGTGAACTCTTCGGCGGTGGTGGGGTGGATCCCCACAGTGTTCAGCAGGGTCTTGACAGTCAGGCCCGACTTGAGGGCAGCGGCGAAGCCCTGGATGACCTCGCCGGCCACTGGGCCGATGTAGTGCAGGCCCAGGATTTTCTGGTCGCCGGAAATCTCGGCCACGGCCTTCAGGTAGCAGTGGCGCACGCTCTTCTGTGGAATGAAGAACTCGGTGGGCTTGTAGTAGCCGTGAAAGACCTCGATGTTCTCGGCTCCGCGCAGCTCGATGGCCGTTTCCTCGGACATTCCGACACAGCTGTACTCGAGTGGCGTGAACACAGTGGTGGCCACGTCGGCGTAGTCCATCAGCTGCGTGGATCCGGCGAAGAGGCGCCTGGCCAGCAGGCGTCCCGCCAGGATGGCGACCGGCGTGAGCTCCGGCCGCCCATATATAATGTCCCCCACGGCAAAAATGTGGGGTGCGCTGGTGGCCTCTGCGGCGTCCACTAAATCTTATCGTTGTGGGTCTTCACTCCGGCGGCCGCCAGGTTGAGGTCCTCGATGAGACCCTTGCGTCCGATGGCCCACAACACCGTGTCGAAGACGTCGCTGCCGTCCGTTTGGGTGGTGGTGTTGTGGTACCGCACCAGCAGCCGTCCGTCCTCCTGCCGCTCCACGGACTTGGGGATGGTGGTGCCGAGAAAGGGGATTCCCCGCTCGGTCATCATGGCCGCCAGCAACTCGGACATCTGGCGGTCGAAGCCGCGCAGCACAATGGAGCGCACCATCACGGTGGGCTCGTAGCCGAGGCCCTTGAGGAAGCAGGCGCACTCGAGACCCACGTATCCTGCGCCCACGACCAGGGTGCGACCCGGCTCCCGCTCGTAGCTGAATATGTCGTCGCTGGTGATGCCCAGCTCCAGGGCTCCGGGGATGTCCGGGTAGCGGGGTCGTCCACCCACGGCCACCACCACGAACTCCGAGGTCACCTGGAGGCGTTCGTTGGGCCTGACCACGTACTCGATGGTGTGGCTGTCGAGGAAGGAGCCCACTGAGTTACGTACTCCACCTTCTTGTCGCGCAGGTCCACGCGGGTCACCCAGTTGACCGACTTGATGTGGTTCTGCACGGAGCGCACCAGCTTGCGCCAGTCGGGCCGGAGGTTCTGGTCGTCCACGTTCCACCCGTAGGCCACCGCCTCGTGGACCGCCTCGCCCAGCAGCGAAGCCTGGTGCATCAGCTTCTTGGGGATGCAGCCCACGTTCACGCAGGTGCCGCCGATGCCCCACTTGGTGCCCGCTGGAGTGGGCTTCACAAAGTCGAGCACAGCACTCGGGCGCCGCAGTCCGCCGCCTCCTTGGCGCAGGCCAATCCTGCCGAGCCGCCGCCGAGCACCACCAAGTCGTAGTCGTAGCGCGGATTCGAGGACGCATGGCGACACCATCGAGGGAGCTGCGGATCGAGGAGCTGGCGGAGGAACGCAGAAACTTCATCGCGACATACTGGACTGATGGACGGATAAGATGGGGATGTGTAAGAATCCCAAAAGGTGGAATAAAACTTGTAATTTACAATCCGGCACTGCCAACTTGTGTAAGTAACGTTGATTTTAAACAGGCTTGTAGGAAAATATAGCAAGTAGAACCGGCGAAAGTAAAGTTCGAGCTGTTATAAGTAATCTTATATAAAACCAAAAACAGTTTTTAAAACACTTTTGAAACTAGTGACGATCGTACCCACAACATACAAATGTTCTGATATAAACACCAGGAGAGTGCGCTAAGGCGACAGCTATAAATACACAAAAATATGCAATCGTCTGTTATGGTCACGTAGGTTTATTTATTTTACAAATTAAAGCTAGTATATAATACTAAAATTAAACTTGAAAAGAAGGGGTGCTGGAGGCTAAAGTCCTTCGGCCCGGTAAGATTATAAACTTAGTCTAATAGTCAAACTTATTAAAAGTTTACCATTCCCATCGCATTCTTCATATGTCACGAAAAATTATACAAAATGAATTTAGGGCAATATTGCTTTTAAAAGTATTTTTCATAACATATAAGGATTACTGCACATTATAGGTGTTCAGTGTTTTAAAGTTCCCTTGACCGACCCATGCTCTCACTGAACCCGAAGTGGAAACGACATTTTTCGTTTAGTTAGCTTAGTTTGTGCTTAAGACTATGGGGTATGGAGTCTCCACTTCGGTCTGACGATTTCCCTCAGCGTAGCTCACATTCTATACCAAAATGATTTATAAGTTAGGTTTTTGCCCGAATCTTTGGGGAACTAGTTCCGGAGAACTAATCGAGTGCACCCCGGGACCCAGTTTTTCGTCGGAAGGGGCGTATATCCTTGAGAAAATCGACGGATATCTTACGCAAATGTCTCCCTTCGAAGTGGCCGAACCTTTAGCATACACATACAAATCCAGTGAAATGTCAGTTTCAATGATTTATGCTCCTCGACCATGGACCATTTGGAATTTTTGGCAGGCCGTTGGTAACCAGTTTCCTGCCCAGGCATCCCATCCCCAAGTAAATGGCGTTCTGGTCTGCTGCCTGCCCAATCCCACAACCGATCCAAGACCATGTCCATGGCTTCCTAATTTCTAATCTAATATTTTTGCGTACGAGTGCCAGGCGGCGGACGGGTGAGGCAGGGAAATTCCTTGCCTTGGATGCTTGGCCATGTCCAATGTCTGCTCTGGATATGATTTACTTTTGCGGTTTGTTTTTGGTGCGTTTAACCGCAAATATTTAATGGTTTTATTTCCCGAAGCTCGGCCAGCCCTCAGCTGCGATTCATTTGTACATGTCCTGGTGTGCGGGTGTGTGCGTGCCGGGTATCTGTGTGCCTGGTGTTTTCTGGCATATTTATTAGTTGAACCAACGACCCAGTATTTGTAGATGCCGCAAGGTTAAGCCCCTGACTGATGGCGACCCAGTTAAAGGCGGCTGAACCTGAGCTTCGGCGTTCGGCTTTATATTTTCTAAAATCCTAACGTTCCGGGCCATCGCCAATCGTCACTGAGTCCTCCAGTTCTGGCTGAGAACGGGAATGCGACTGGATTTCGGGCTCCGACTGGGTCTGGGGATCTTCGGGGCGCTTCGTCTGCAACTTCATTGTGCCGACGATCAGGCCCAAGTGTAGAGTGTTCATAACAAGTCCAAAAAGGACCAGGGGCACGTAGTATTCCCAGCAAAGGTCGCTCCACCACAGGTGCCACACTAGCTTCAGGTAGAAATCAAATAGGCGCTGGTAAACGTAGAAGTTCCACATGAGAATCAGGGCCACCAGCAGGCCAAAGTTGTGGATCTGGGGGGGCAGTAGGTTAATAAAGTCACCGGGTAAGAAAGATCCATACCTGGAAGAGGGCCGGCAGAAGGAGCAGGAAGTTCACGTGCAGGTTTACGTTCCACAGGACGTCGTCGAACTCTACCCCATCATTCAAGGTATCCGGTGGCTGAGATCCAAGATTCTGCCGATTAAGGGGATCCGGCGCCAACGACTCGCATTGGCTGATGGAACTAGACAAAGGATTTAGTGATTAGAATGTGTTCTTGACGCAGAGCTTACCTTTGATAATGCGTTGTACTTTCCTGGCCATGTACACCACAAGACCGTTGTAAAGGAGCAAGTTAAGAGCTGGCATGTAAACCATTATGCTTCTGTGAAAAATATACTTTAGCTCTGTCTGACTCGGACGGGATCAATAGGGCTACTGACTGAGTCGGTTTGGGACCTTACCAAATTGCTGACTTAAAAGGAGAAAAGCACTAGTCATAGGAATCCTAAAATGCTTCTATTGTTACCATGGTTTTGAATTTTCAAGTAATTTCCATTTTTATTCTCTCTCTTACAGGTAAGTGGCACCTATCCCCCTCGGGTGAGTACAATCGCGTTTATTTGCATTATCTCGGGGACTAGGGCGAATTTAAATAAAGGAATTAATATCTGAAAATTCTCCAACAATGAAACTTTGCCAGGGAAACGCGGGAAAAACTCTCGGAATTGATGCGATAAAAGTTTAATTCAAAGTAAGGCTTCCCTTCCCGCTACCCTGCCGCCAACTTGGTAGGCCTAATGTGCTGACAATCGTTGGATTCCAGACCACTCAGACCTGGACTCTCCCCCTGGTATAATTTAAACTTTAAAATGACCAGAGACGGGTCTAGGCAACAACAGAAATGGCAGAATGCAACCGGGGAAGGTGGGGAAGTTCGGCGCAAACTTTTGTAAAAGTTGTAAAAAATGAAAAAGTTTCGCCAATAAACATTAGAAAAACTTTTGCGCCTCGTCTCACCTCACCATTTTATGACTTGAATCTCCCTCTCCACCGGTAGGCATAATGCCAGTCCTTTTTGCGGCGGCACCTGCCTAGCGACAAGTTTATCAAATGCTTTCCCTCTCAACCAAATGAAGCTCAATTTCGGAAAATCCTAAAAAGTTATCTTTATATTTCTGTCTGTCGCCAGGCAAACGACGAGGGCCACTTAAGGCCTGAGCTCTGGAGCGGTTTGGCCGCGCTGGCAGCTCTTTGGGAGCCGTCATGGTAATCAGACAAAAGGTCAAATAATTCATCAAATATTAATTAAGTTTGCGCCTAATTAGTTTGATTCAGCGCCGAGACGCCGCCTTCGCCCATGGTGAGACATCAAAAAGGTGTTGGCTCTGGGCCCGCGGCACAACTCGGCCAAAAACGCGGGAGAAGGACACCCCGGCTGAAAAAGCCGCCTGAGACGGTTACAATTGCCCAATTAAAGTCTAATTACGCAGGAACCTATGAGGAAGACAGACGGCTCGGGTCAAAAGTTAAACAATTTGGCAAACAAAATATTTGACAAATGTTGGGCATGGGCAGAGGTTCGAGCTAATACTGACGAATAGGAAACGCTTAGTAAATTAACAAAAAGCCAACGTTTTGCCAGAATTTCGAACAATACCATAGAAGCTTCGAGAGAAAAGCAATGGTTTATTTTCGTTTGTTTGCAGAAATATTTGCAGATGGCAAACTTTTTGCAGCAATTATTTAATTTGTTGCCGATGCGAGGCATAAAGTGTTCAATTCTTTTCCAATTTCCCTCTGTTGTTGCCCGCCTCGGATCCTGAGAAAATGTTTCATTCCATGCACAAATATTTAATTTCGTTTATTGAAGTATTTGTTGTTTGGTTTGGCTTCCAAACAGTTTGTAAGGTGGTTGAATGTTGGAGCAAATTTCTGGGAAAGGCAGGACCACACACGTGCCTTGGCACACGCAACTTCTTGACCAACATTCCGTTCCGAACCAAGTCTTTCTCAACCGGCGGGCATGGGCGAGTTCGGCCTTTATTTGCAGTTTGTTGTTTGTTTGTTTGCTAGACCCACTTGGAACAAAAATTTTATTAATTAATTTGAAACTGTTGCTATTGACGAGGTTTCAGGAATTAGCCCTTCCAGCAAGAAATATTTTGATTCGGCCTTCTGCCGAAATCGATTAGTTTACATAGGCAAAGTATTTTAAACTCATATTGGTTGGGCAGTATTTGCTGGATAAGATTTCCCATAATTGATTTGACTTTGGCCCCTGAAACCTGCTTGCCTTGGAAAATCCCTTTGTCTCTTACTCCAATTAATTAGAATCCAAATCCAGAACTTATCTCAGAATTAACTACACCAATTTTCGCCTGAAATTGTTTTTAATATTCATAAACCAATTTTCCCCATCGCTCTCGATTCCTCATTCCTGCAGAGGCTATAAAAGTGGGCCATAAAAATTCCAATAAATGCATAAACCCAAATCCACAAAATTGGTTAGACATTGCCAAAAAGTCGGTTTTACGAGCCTTCTGTTGAGTCCCTTCCCCGTATGTTCGACTCCTCTCCGGAGCGAGAATAAACGACTTGAAAATGTTTTTAATTGCAGGCGAATATTTTGGGCAGATTACATAACTAGCATTCGAGAGCTCGGCTGGGCTCATAAAATCCATCGCCCACACACAAATGGTAAGGGAGTGGGATATCTGCCCTATAATGGCACATAAACCGTTTCGTATCCTGCATATATTTTTCAGTTATGTGGCCGGCAACAACTACACCAGCCACAATTAAAACCAAGGCAAGCTCAGCAGAACGTTGTGCGTAGATATTGCCTTCCAGCCCCTTCACCACTGTCCCCTTCAAAATCAAGTATACGACATGATAGCCACATTTTTGTGTGTGTGGCATTGGTGAGTCTGGTAAAGTGCGAATTACAACACTTCCTGCTGGGCCCTTCAGTGCGGCTTTCTTTACGAGCACGGCACTCGACCGAAAAACAAAAGTGTGAGAATTTGGATGCTCATGGGGTGGAATCGGAGCTGTGTGTTCATATTTCTAGTTGTATCGAAAGTAGCTTTCTATCGATTATTACCTTCGGAAGGCAAATCTATTTGAAATGCCGCACAATGGGCTTAATTGCCCGCAGTTGACCAATATTGTGCGAAATTAATTTAACATAGAAGAGCCGAACTCGTATTTGAGCAGTGTGAAAATATGCACTTTGTGGATGGAGAGCAGTAGATCAAACTGTAGGGTACAGATTCTTAAAAAATAAATAATACTTTTTTAATTTCAAAAGGAGAAGGGCGATCTTTTGAAAATGTTTTTTAGGGTAAGTTAACGACAATTTAAGTATAGATTCATAATCTTATGAAGTGCAGTTTTTAAAATTTAATATTGTTATATTTGATCTACCATTAATAATAATTACGTAAATCTATAGTGACTGTGTCTCAAGGAGAAATTTAAAAATCTGATTAGTAATTAAGGACAGACAGTGGAATTGCATGACATTGATAATTACAATTGTGGGACAACGAATGAATTTAGAGCTGGTTAATACAGAACAATCTTTTGATTGTCTCATTTTTCTATGCCTGCTCGCAATTAGAGATTGTTAAATGCAAAAAGCGATGCTCTAATTACACATTTAATGCTTTTAATTGCCGCAACAAAAAATAAATTCAAAATCAGTTATGTTTGGCATCTTTTGATATCAGTTCAACTAATCCCGTAATCGGATTTGGCTAGGCAGGTCAATTGCATTGAATAATTAAAGCCCTGGCTGGGGAAGCTGGCATGGGAAAATGATTCGGATTCTGATTACCGAATTGGGCTCCTTCCTTGGAACTCGAGCTCTTTAATAATTTCGGTTGGCATATGCATCACCCACATCATCGTAAAACTTGAAAAAGTTTTGGTGTCGGAAAGATTCGACATGCAAAAGTTTTCCATGTAAATGACTCAGAGTGCGATGTGTAGTTGGATGTATAATACATATGTGTTTTTGGTAAGCAGTTTACCTATTGGTGAATTACCGTGCTGCCTAGGTAAAAGTTGAAATGGTTTTTGCATGTTTCTGCGGTTATCAAATTTTCTGCTACCAAATGTGTCGGGAAAGTGCTGGAGACAACTACTGATGGGATAATGGACAGGTGTGAAACAATTTAGTGCGCATAGCTGAGATGACATCAATGCCGCGAAGCCTGGTTACTCTTCAGTCGCTCTTAGGATTGATTTTTTGCGCTAGTCTATAGGACACAACTTGTGTAGTGCAATGGATAGTCGTGATTTGGGCAACAGAGAGAGTTTCTGGCCAATCGAATCTAGAGAGTGCATAAGTTTTTAATTTAGCAGTCGATCATTCAATTTCCCAACCGTAAGTCGCCCTTAATCACACGAATCCCACATCAGAGCAACCTTACATCATCGTTTCCCCCATGGACCCCGGATTGGGTGTCCACTTGAACTTAACTACAATTTGGTCGCCCCATTCATGCATATTGATAATCTTGAACGCTTCAATGCTCATTTACTCATCTTGAAAGGTGCACTGCCCCGAAGCACTCCCCCAAAGAAGGTCCCTAAATTCAAGTTTTTAATCATGCGTGGGCGGTCAGTTAGCCTTTGATTCGTTTTTCCCCATCATCTGCTCGGCGATGTCCCATCCCCTGGTCCTGTAATCTCCAAGGGATGTGTGTTCATTTTGGGGCTACATCATTTATGGGCTTCTTCATCCTTTTCCAGCCAGAGGCGGGCACTTTTCCAATCAACTTGAGTGTATGCCAGTGTGCGTGGGGCCGTGTGTGGAAAGGAAAGGGCAGGCAAAGGACCCTTGTCCTATTTCCTGCTGATGCTGACTTTGTGCCGATTTCATATTTTTCATTCGACAAAATAGATATTTTTTAATGCCTTTTATTAAATCGGCTTAGATTTATTGTGCATGTATATCATCGTTTCACATATGTGAAGCAACACTCGAAAAAGTCGGTATCATTATTGAATTTCCTGAACATACTTGAATTTCACAAGATTTATATGCAAATAAAACAAATATATGGTATCTAATGTAACATTTTTTATAATTTATAATTCATTTCAAATAAATCAAAATATTTATTTTTCGAAGTAAAGGGTAATGATTATTTAGTAAAGTGATGCTATCGATGGTGGACCCGGACCCAGACTATCGGCTACTCTGATTTTTTCATTGATCTATAGTGTTATCCGTTGTTTAAAAAACACAACTGCTTTAAGTCAAAACAAATTGTTTTTAATCGTTTATTTCTTCAGTGTGTTTAAGCAAAAGCTTAGTGTGTGTAAGTGACTAAGAGTTGGCTCGTGAAAATGGGAAAATTCCTTTATGGGTCTTAAAGAAAATATTGGCTTATAGTCGGCCTAAATTGCTTTTAGAGGCAAGGGTCAGCGAACCGGGTTGAAACATAATCCCCCGTAATCTAATGAAGACGCAACGGAGTAGCTCTCAATTTATTTTGAAATCTTAAAAACTTGCAATAGGAATGTGTAACCGACTAAACGTTTACAAATTTGACACAATTTTCTATGAATTTTCAATGTCCTGCTGCCGGACTCTGTTCGCCACACACATTTGCAGTAGGACATTCCGGTCACTAATTGTGATTGATGCACTTTAAAATTGTTGGCAAATTATTATTGCCAAAAGGCACGATGGGCCACCACCCCCTGCCTAACTCAATTAGTCAACCTGCCTGCTGCTGCTGCTGACGTTGACGTTCCTGCCGTTGAGTCCTGGCGTCCTGCAGTCCTAGCCAACTGTTGCAACGAAATTACCACAAAGTTTTCTGTTTGCTGCATAATTAAAAAGTTTGAAAAGCTTTTGCCGAAACCAGGCAACAGCCAGGACCCGTCCCCTCCCGGAAAACTGCCGCCAGCCTCCGGTCCGCCTCGTCCTTCATCCTGCTGCATACTCCGGGCTAACTATTATAAACCAGCGGTTATGCGGCGGTTGCAGTTTTTGCATGATTGACAGCCCAACAGCCTGAAACGAGAGCGAGGACGAGGACGAGAAGCACCAGGAGAAATAGGAATACGACGTCGAGGACACGCCGTTCATGGCACCAAAAGCTAGTCAAGGACATGCCCACGCATGTGCCCCCTCACCCCCTCATTGTTGGGAAAATATTTTGAATTTTTCTAAAAGTTTGCCACTGGCTCCCACAAAATGTTTACATTTTTCATCAAATGAGTTTTAGATAATTAATTCCTCTGGCGAAATGAGAACAAAAATCATTTATATTTCGCTCTTTATCCTTCTTTTTTTCCATTTTGTAATTAGAATTTGGGGCTAATTGCGCATGGGTGTGAGTAGCCAAGGTCGCGGCGGGTTTTCAAAAAGTTGGTGGGAAACTAAAGTTGTCGTTGCCGTTTAGTGGTGATTTTTGAGCCCCGCCGTTGAAAAATTTGGTACCACGATGCTTTGGAAACGTTTCAACAATTTAATTCCTGCCCCTCTACGGAGTCTACACATGGCTAACTAATGACAACTGATTAGGGCTTAGCTGTGTTGTGCTTAAAACTTTTTAGCCAAGAAACTATTTATGCGGGTTCCCCATGTCCACATTTTGAAGCGCAGCACATGTGTGCGGGAAAGCACACAAAGTGTCAACTTACCTGTCGGAGGAGAAGAGGAATCTGGAAGTGGGTGACGTGGGGTTCCGAGGGATGTGTTGTGGAAGCAGCCGCCGCTTGTCTCATTAATCATTTAAAATAAACAAACGCAAGTGGAACGCAATTTGTTTTATCGTCAGTCGTAGCCACTTTCCGTCCTCGGCTAACACCCCATCACACTTATCAGAACCTATATCCCGTGGGTAGCACGTGTAGCTCTCAGAGCCTTTGCACTGATTTTTCGCCACTCGCCAACACGGATTCTCGCACACGCATAGCCAGCCACCTGACCGCATGACATTAAGCAATTAAAATAATTACGCAAAGCTCTCGTAGGATTTGTTTCACCTGGCCACTGGTACCTCTAGATTTGCAGGGTATGCAAGTAGAGTATTTGTAATTTCCCATAAAAGCAGCCTTACCAATACCCTATACTCGGTTATACAGTTTAACAATGTAGGTTGGGACACCTTTTTCATTTCACCTGCCCTTTGGTTAGTAACATGTGAATCAAAACGTGATTTATTAATAGTCTTTTAACTTTAAATTTAAAAAAATTTAATTTAAGTATTGAGGCGGGACACTTTCAAACCAATATAAAATCACCTTTAAAGCACTCCAAACGTTTAGAAAGTATATATCACCTTGGTTTTCCTTTATTAACGTTGACCAAATTTTCTTTTAGTTAAACAAGAACGCTGATTTAACGAAAATTCTTTAAATTCATATAAATATATCTTGAAGAAAGCGTCCCCTGGCGGCTGAAACAGTTTTGCTTTCAAAACGGGTGTTCCGACTTACAAGACAAAGACGCTTTCGTCTTGTGTTGTTAATCGTCGCACTTAACATTTTATTTGATATTGGAAAGGAATGAACTAAATTCGTTCTTACCTTATTCCATTTAATCTTTTCGACTTTATTGAATTTTTATTAAACTTGCAAACAAACACTGTCCCATCCTCTTGACTCCTTCAACCCACACCCCACTCCCTATCAATACTATTGGTAAAGATTAGCCATTATGGCGTGCGACTATATTTCAATGGAATAACGAGCTACGTAGGAACCCCTAGAACGTGATGGGTTAGCCCCAACTTCCCACCTTTTACCGTTTTCGAAACCGTAGCGCTCGTACAGACAGACTGACAGGTGATCCTGACTAATAACTAATGTATTACATTACATTAATTATGCTTATTATGGGTACAATTAGCTAAGTAATTTTAACCTTGTATATGTTAGTAAAACCTTTATCACTATTTTTTCGACTTGTATTGGGTTGCAGAAATTCATTTGCAATGATCCTTATGGAATAAAATATTATTAAACGGAAGTTGTGCTAAATTGACCCGTCAGAAACTTAATTTTTGTGAGTTGTGGCAGATATATGCATACACTAGTCACGACATGTATCATGCCATTGTTTAGCTAACCCACCTTCGTGTCCTCTGATTCCAGTTCTTTACTGCAGCAAACTTTAAATGTTTTAATCCCCGTTCAGGTCGGAGCTGAGGGCAAATTAATCTGCTGCGTCCTAGCCACTTTTAAACTAAAGCCAAACGGCTTAGCTACCCCTATATGTCCGAGGACCCAATCCCTGTTTCGCTTCTCCTTTGCTCCTGCCGGGTTAGAATGCTGCATTACTCGCCAAGGCAACCTGCAAAATGCCTG